AATTGTCCATTACAGATGCGTCACTGACTTGGGGAGACGGGCAGCATTTGGAACTGAAGCTCGTGATTAGCTGCAACAGGGAACAAGACTCTTCCATCACTTCGTAACTTGTTGAACAAGAATACTTTTCATTTTCCAATAACTGGTTTGCGTCTTCTCTAATACGGTCGGTATTTTAGTAAACTGAGATCATGACTCAAACGTTGGTTGAAAATTGACGGTGTGTTTTGTGGGTGAAACACGGCAGCCAATTTCTTCAAAATTAAATTAAAATGTCACTGGTATTGGAGAAATAAATCAACAAGCGGTGCTAAAGCTTTTACTGATTAGGACATAAATGTGATGAAGTGTCAGACTGACTTTATTTTACACTCAAGACGTTTCTTCTCTGATAACACATCTGTTCATAGGAAATGGCCTCTCTGAGCACAATCCACCGATTTATCCTGTCAGCCCCCTTCGCCAACAGCTTTTAAATCTATTTATATACACTCTTCTTAGATACTATCTTGAAAAATAAATGACAGCACAGGTATACATTAAACATTACTCGCCTTTCCAATTACTAAGGACGTGCAGGATTGATGATAATCTCTTGGGTTCAGTGAGTTAAGTGTCAGCAAAGTACTCCATCTGCTCCTCAATCAGAGGAAACATTTTCCGACTGTCTTGGAAATGATCCTTCTCCCAGTCACCTTTGATGCATTCGACAACGTTATTGTTTCGATAACGTTTAAGACACATTTGCTTAATTTGGTGTTCAGCTTATAAATCGTGCTCCACTTTACTTACCGAGCGGAAAACGAGTGCGTCAGGAACGTGGGCCGCAGAGTGTGTAATCCACCGCCGCGAACAGCTTTTTTTTCATTTTCACAGAATCTTTTTCACTGCAATTTTGTTTTACACATACCGTATTGTTGAAGACAGCTGTCACATAGTAACAGAATACACAAGGTTCAGAAGCCATTCATTAAAAATACCTACAAGGACAATACTTTGGTCACCGTAATAAATAGTATACAAAGTTATAGTCCCGGACGTAAAAGGTCCCACTCCCATTTCCTTTGTGTAGCTGACCTATTTGTGGAGGCGGAGGTTGGCTATTAGAGTGAAGAAAATAATAATTCCAGTGGTGAATTTATGAATTCTGCCTACGAATCCTGGACAGAAACAAGGTCGCTGTGATTCCATATGGTTTTGGAGAGGCCATTGTGTAAAACGGTGTATCTGTGAATGAAGAGTAAACTCAGGGTCAGAACATTCAGCAAAATTAATAATAACAATCCTTGCATTTGATATAACGCCTTATCACGTCTTCGAGACGTCTCAAAGAGCTTCACAGGATACACTGTAAAGTGAATCGACTGTGCATTTTGTGGCCACAAATGTCACTTTCTGACAGGTTTTCTTTTCAAAGTACTTTTAAGGGAAAGGTATTAAACTTGTTGAATTGTTCCCAAAAATATAACAATATTAAATTCTGCTGTAAATAGTGGAATTATCGAGTTTGGCCTCTCACATTCCTCTTTACAGACGTCAGGACTGGATGATAGAAATGTGTGTTTAGACTTAAACTGATTTCACATGATCTTGTAATGTTTTACAAGTCAGACATTCTGGATTTAAAAAAGGTTTGTGAATTTTCCTATGCTCTGGTCTACTGTCTGAGAATATTTAATCCGTATATCCATCCCATTAAGTCAGATATATCCAGTAACCTTGAATATTACGTAACAAATAATTTAATTAAACTGTTATCAATACATATTCATGTGATATTTTTATAGGCCCTGTGATACATTTTCTAAAATGTTTCAAAACAAACCTAGTATTTGAACAAAAATTAGAAATTGCCAGTGACCTATTCTGCAACAGCCTTATTTTTCCAAAGCTGTGAGATGTGTATTTTAAAATCAAGTAACACTGAGAGAGACGCAGCCTGTTGATTTTATAGAGCAATCAATAAATTATATCTGCCGGTCTAGTATCATTGTGTGACTCATGAACATCAGGTCAGCCTTGAAGTGATTAGTGCTGTGAGATTCTGAGCAATCAACATTTTTTATTACAGATTAATTTGGAGGCTGTGGAACAGAACACAATATTGCAATATTCCCTGAGCTGCTCAAAACTCTGCCTTAATTTAAAAATACTATCAATGCCAATCATCTTACTTCATTGGAAAAATCTATTCCGGAGACATTAGCTACTACTTGTAAAGAGTATTGTTCAACATTTTAATCCAACCCAAAAACATAAGCTGCTATTTCGATCAGGATATAGATGGGCAACTGGGGAAAATCAGAATTTATTGAATGAATAATTACTTTTTCTGGAACATCTCAGTTTAGAAATGTGTTATTCATGAAAAAATGAATAAACTTCCCTGAAATCATACATAAGGATAGTTGGTGGGAACCATTGAAAACATTTATTTTCATGAGTGAGATTCTGTCATCCATCAAATCATGAGAGGCAAACACACCACATAATGCATTGACTGTGAGCAATGGAGAAGAGTTGCTTTTGGACTGATATCTTGATTGTATAAAGAAACCAACTGATATTGTTTTGATCATTATTGTCATGTTTTTTCAATTAAAATGACTTATTTTGTTTCCTGATAAAAATTGCTTCCAGCCCTCATGATAGGCTATCAGAAAGCCTACAAAATATACGGTCAATTCACTTTACAGTATATTCTATGAAGCGCTTTGAGACGTCTCAAAGATGTGTCAAATGCAAGGATTATTATTATATTATAAAGGATGCAGCAAAAAATATCCAAACATGAGACATCCCACAGTAACTATGTCCCATTGACAGTTACATGCGTGTGTGTGATGTGAATGTTAACTGTCTTATCAATCTTAGGATTGTAAATTACAGAAATATCTATTTCTAGTACAGAGAGTTTTAAAAATAACATTCCTGGAAAGAAAATGTGCAGATTTAATTAGTTTGATCTGCATTATGTTTGCCATTAAACTCATAGTATAAACTCGTTAAGAAAACCTACGCTAATAAGTTTTCAAATGGCAATTCCAGGCATTTAATTGTGCTGATAGTTTACCTAAAGGGTACTGTGTGACGTTATTGTGGTAAATAAATCAGGTTTTAATGTTGCAGAACGCCCTAAATTGTGTCCTGATTCCAGGCTTTGACATTCCAGCAAACCCTCCACTTTCGGTGCAAAGTCAGGAAAAATCGGCTGCTTTTAAACTGGCAAAACCAAATGCATTGTGTGATTTAGTTGCTGTGGATCCGTGCATCGGGTTGAAGTTCAGTATAAAGTGTCCGTCTGAAGCACAGCACAGAAGAAGCCAGGGCTAACCAGCAGTGTGGTTTGCAGATTGGTTGAGAAGCCAATCTGCTGCGCCAATTTTGCTCACAAAATATAACCAAGTGAATGCGTTGTCTGGGCATGTACAGGGTTCCACGGAGATCGCCTGTACCCTGATCCACCAGATCCAACCAAAATGTTCTGAAATAGCAGGGTGTGAGGGGGGGGAGAGGGGGGTGGGGTGTGAAGGGTCAGCTCTTGCCTGGAGCTGGTGTGAACCTGGTCTGCTATAGACCCAAAGCCTATTTGAGAGAGACAAAAACAGGTTCTTTGAATCATCGACAATGTAGACTGTTTTTTCTTGTGGCATATCTGCAGTGACCACTGTGCACTGTGTGTCCTGCCCAAGGACTCAGTGTCCTCTTGTGACTTCTTCTGTCCTTATCTGGTTTGGCTGTTGAGAAATATTCTGTCGAGGCAAGAGATCCATTAAATACTTTTGGATAGCAGATTCAGTGAAAGTGCAGGAAACCACAGACACAGAGTGAGGATAATACATGTTGTCAGCTCAAGAACATCCAAGTGATGTAGACTGAGGCTTTTCTCGGGCAAATTGATGATTTTAAAAAATTAATACTGGCGAGATGAACAAGGTAAATGTTAGGAAAATGCTTTCAACTGCTTTTAAGTATTAAGAACTTTTCACAGTGAATCTTATTTAATAATAATAATGATAATCCTTGCATTTGATATAACGCCTTATATTACTTCTAAGAGACTTCTCAAAGCACTCCACGGAATATATTGTGAAGTGGATCGGCGGTATATTTTGTGGGCAAAGTATTTCACACTTACTAGATGGTTCTGAGCAATAGGATCGCATTTGGTTCAGACGCTCTGGTTCATGGGAATGCTCTTTCTTTGGAAATTCTGGTCTCCTGTGCTGTGCTTTGCTTGTTGTGCTCCATTGTATTTGCTGCCACTTGAACGCAGTGATACATTTCCTACATGCATGGACCGTGTGTGGAATTGCTGATATTTTGGGTGAGAAAAGCAGAAAAGCAGCACTCTGGGACACTACCCTGCGTGAAGGACGTTATATAAATGTAAGTTATTGTTGAAAAGCCCTTCATCATTAACTGTGGAGTCTGCAAAGACGAGTGCTTGGAATAGGGCATTTGATTTTGTGTTGAAGAAAAGTTCTTTGTATTTTAAGACTTTGGTTGATGAAAATATAGTTGCGTAAAATATTTGTGTAAAATATCCCGCACAAAGTCTCAGTTTTGTGATTTAATCTAATTCATCAGCATTTTCTTAGATAATAATAATACTTGTGTTTGATATAGCGCCTTATCATGTCTTCGAGACCTCTCAAAGAGCTTCATAGAATACACTGTAAAGTGAATTGACTGTGTTTTCTGGGTGAAACGTTCACACTACACTGGGTAGAAGAGGCTCCTTTCCACGTGTTGCAATTAGATTGGTGGTTTGAGATCCTTTTATCTCCTGTCTCTGAATTCAGAAGATGCGTTTCATTATCAAACTCTTTTGCACAGCAATCTGAACTACAGGGCTATGGCCTGGAGTCTCTCCTCGCAGCTGCAAAGCATCATAACCTGATCTTGCACAATTCCTGTCATCTATACCAGGCTTTGGCTTCACATGTGTGTTTGGCTTCTCATGAATTCAGTCAATGTCTGCTCTGGCATCAGTTCTTCTCCGTCACGTTGACATGTCCAAGCTGCTTATTCATTCATTCATTCAATCCGGGGCCAAAGTTATTCTAGGCGTTTTGTTAAACTTAATAAGAATAAGAGAATAATTCCAATTAATGCTCAGTATTTCTCAATATGCATAATGTATGCAATTCCAGGTTTCTCTCTTTCATGTACTCAGATATTATAACAATAAGGAAAACAACCCTATTTGGGGCAATTTCCACTAATTTTTCTTGATAATGTAAAGTTTCCATTGACCTTCCTAACATCATATTACAGAATTACAGAGAGAGATACCCTGCTTACAGTCACCTTCGCTTTCTCTCCAGCTCAGCATCAAACTTCGCCATTGCTCAGTGCTACCCTGCATGAAGAGCGCTGGTTAATGCAAATTGTTGTTGGTATTGATACAGCACAGAAACAGGCCATTCAGCCCAACTGGTCCATATATTGCCAGGTGAGTAATATGCCAGCTTTGCAATGGATGCCGTTTGCTTCTCTGCACAGAAGCGGAGACTAGGCAGGACATGAGGAGAGCCTTCAATACACCACACAAATTCACGTGCCATCGGGCCAAAGGACAGTTTCCTATGCTGATCTGAAGCTTAACAATTGGGGTTCGGTGCAGGATGATTGTCTTTGAGGGGAACTAGACAGTATCATTCCACATCCCTTCAAGATCACACACATCAAATAACGTTTAGAACATGCAAGGGAATGTTCTTAATTTCTGCAAGCTTTGTTCCTGGATTAAACAGTCAGTGGGTAAGAGGTATAAAAGTCAGAGTAACTTACCCGTCTACACTGGGTCAGGGCTAGTGCAGAACAGCAGGAAAAGCTTGGAGAGAGCAGAGCAGCCACTGTGAAGTGCAAGCAGTAAAGATTGAGAGGAACAGAATCAGAAGAGTGAGAAGCGAAAGCTTAATAGGTAGAGAACGTCACAAACAACAAATCAAAATAATAATAATAATCCTTGCATTTGATATAGCGCTTTTCATGTCTTCTCGACGTCCCAAAGCGCTTCACAAAATAGACTGTAAAGTGAATTGACTGTATATTTGTGGGCGAAATGCGGCAGCCAATTGCGCACAGCAGCATCCCACAAACAGTCGTGGATTGAAGGGACCAATTTATTATTTTTTTCTTGAAGGATTATTATTAGGCTCTGTGTGGAGTAAGAAAACTTGCCCAAGGTTTCACCCTGCTGGGAATTGAACCCAGGTCTCTCGCTTGCAAAGTGAGTGCTCTAACCACTGAGCTATAGGACTCCACAAGTAGCGCCTTATCACATCTTTGAGATGTCACAAAGCACTTCACAGAATATACTGTAAAGAGAATTGGCTGCATACTTTGTGGGCGAAATGCGGCAGCCAATTGCACACAGCAGCGTCCCACAAACAGTCGTGGACTGAAGTGACCAAATTATTTTTATTTATTTTGAAGGAATTATTACTCCTGGAAAATTAGCAACTGCAATTAATGAAATATGGCTGATTTGTTATCATGTTGGTACAAAGCAAACAATCCGATAGGTTCAACAAAAGGACAAGAATTTTGAAAAATAACATTTTCTTTTTGTCCTGTAGCTATGTTTCAGCGTACATCAACTCTGAGGTTAGTTGCAATCCGAAGAACATCTCTCTGTCGTGAAATGAGGACAGTTAAGGTTGATTGGAAAATATTGAAGCTGTGGTGGTTAGTGGTAAATGTCAGCAAAGCGGTCAAAGCAAAATAGTCTTTCATGTGAGTATAAAGGGAAACGTTATTTAGTTCATCATGTTCATTGTTACCAAATTGAGGATCTGTTGGCTTGTCTCATCTTGCAATCATCCACTGGATCCTAAATATGCCAAGACTGTGCTCCTTGCACGTCCATTTGTGCTTAATTTGTTGACCACTAAATACCAATGTATTTCTTTTCCAATATTTTGTGTATGATTCACCCAGCTGCCTCAGTAGCAGACAGAGACAAACTCTTACATCAACTCTGCATTCAGCTTTCAGAAGCTCACCACGTGTGTTCTAATCATAGAATCATAGGGTTACCCACCACAGAAGGAGGCTGTTCAGCCCATCATGGCTGTGACGGCTCTTTGAAAGAGCTGTGCAAATTAATCCCACTCCCCCCCCTACAACCTTCCAAATTTGTCCTCCCCAAATATCTATTCACTTCTCTCTTAAAAATTGTTTTCGAATCTGCTTCCACCGGTGCATTTAGGCAGTGCATTGCAGATCCGAACAACTCGCTGTGCGAAAAAAAATTCTCCTCATCTCCCCTCTGGTTCTTTTGACAACACTCCAGTATGTGAGGTACACAGTTCTCTTGGGAGAGAATGAAATGGCAGACAGCACTGCAGAGTGCAGGGCTGACATTAATCACAGACACCTTCCCAGTTATCACAGAGGTGACTTTAACATGGGCCACTGAGCCCGCAGGATGTTTCTCTAGATCTGCGGCACTCCGGGGGTTAATCTGAAAGCACCCTTTTTTTGTATTTTAGCTGATTGTCCTTACCATGGATGGAAAGAGGGAAAACAATGTGAATTTTAAAATCTACAGCATCTTCAAGACAACACATACTGTGTCTGTGAAGTGTATCTGATGACAAGAAGCTTATAAAAAACTGCTCAAGTTTTTCACGAAATGTGGTTATGTGTTATCGCTTGTGAATAGATACCAAACAGCGGTCCTGCCTACTAAATACAAGTTGTTATTGAAGCGATGGGTTCTTGAGAACAAGCCAATTTGAGTTGGATCAAGTGTGATTTATATTACAAAGGGCAAAATACTGCTGAGGCTGGAAATCTGAAATAAAACAGAAGTCACTGGGAACATGCAGCAGGTCAGGCAGTATCAGAACTGGCGAAAGGTCATCGACCTGAAACGTTAACTCACTTTCCTCTCTCCATAGATACTGCCTGACCTGCTGGTGTTCCTAGCGACTTCTGTGATTTATATTACGTTCATCTAATGCAGGAATACAGCACACGACATCGATTAACTTGTATAATAGGAGGTTTTATGCAGGATGGGAAATCGTGGCTAAAGTAGTTTAAAGAATAGTAAACAGACTGGACCTACCTAAGTACCTGTGTGGATCCATTGATGGCTGTAGAAGAGGAAGGGATGGTCTGGCCCAGGAAAGAGGCACGCCTGTACCTTCTGTTCCCACAGCACAGAATAGTCAGGAAGGCACATCTGAAGGATTTGTTGAGAAAAGCATAAAGAAATGGATTGAGCCCCGAATTAATATATCCCAGCCACAGGAAGGCAGTCCACAGCTGGTCGGGGACAGAGTAGTTTATAAATGGGTCCACCACATTGGTGATAAAAAATGGGGCCCAACAGAGACAGAAACATCCCATAATAATGCACAAGGTTTTGGCTGCTTTGGTTTCAGTCTTCATTCTGTGGTGGCCTTGCTGGTCAGCCTGTTGCCCGTTGTCTATGGAGGCTCCTGCCCGTTTCAGTATGTCTATCTGCCTTACATGTTCTCTGGCAGTCACATAGATCCTCTGATAAGCGAGGACCATTAAGACGAGGGGTATGTAGAAAGCCACCACTGAACACGTTATGGCATACGGTTTGTTCACCATAAATACACAATGCTTTGTATCGTTTCTGAATTTTCTGTCTTCTATCTACAAAGTGAGCACAAATTACAAAATTACGTTTGTATAGTGCCTTTCACGTCGGGAGGACGTGAAATGTATAAATGTAATCTGAAGGTCTTCATAAAGGACGTGTGGAGGCAGCTTACTGAATATCACTTAGAAAACTAGACAACCAAAGCGTTGTTTAAAATAAATTCTATATTACTGGTACATTTCATGATTCTCGTCCATTGGGGCTTCGATTGGCTGTATTTAGTTATCTACATCTCCACGTCTCGTTGGTTAGCTGAAAAGGCTGGTCAGCCATTGATCGCCTCGGGACGTCCTCCTGACGTGAAGGCAGCTGTATAAATGTAGTCTGCTGGTGTTGTTGTTGTTGTTGATCTTAATATTCGATAATATTAGATAATTTCTACAGTAATTAGTATTGCATTATGCACTGCCTTCAGCATTGAACATATTCAGTGTTGCATTTTAATACTGTTGCAAATGAAACTCACCAACTCCTGTATCCCAACGCTATTCCAGCCTTTCATGATAGGGAGGAAGGAGATGAATAATGGGATAAACCAGCAACCTCCCAGCATGATAGTCACCCGGATTGGAGTCATTTTATTACTGTACACCAGAGGCTGACAACAAATAGCATAGTACCTGCACGCAAACCACAGGAAATACTTTAATTATAGAATTAATACCCAACGGAAAGGCTGAGTGAATCATTACGTGACAACAGCATAAACCGACACAAACTGATCCCCAGCATTGGAAGGCATGGCGTTTTATGAATAATTAGAAAGTGTGTAGAGGATTTTTTCTTTACAGAAAACAAACATCTTTATTCCCGTCAACCCGCCTCAATGATCCCTCAATACTGTCAGAAAGTCTCTCCTTTTCTGTCATGTGCCTTAATTGCCCAGAAAGTGTAAATTGACCTGAAGACAATTAATTAATATCTTTAATCCTATCATGGATTTTCCTCCCCCCCATTTTCTGTGTGCGTGTGAAGGAGATGGTGTATGTTTGCATGTGTGTCGGTATGTATGTCTTTGTGTGTGAGAGAGAGAGAGAGAGAAAAGGTGTAACAGATAGAGCTATGGAAGAAGTGAAGGACAATTAGTTTATGACGTTTGATGTTTCCTATTTTTGCCTATCAGAAGAAAATCAAAAACAGTACCTAAGGAAATAAAAAAAGAATATATATTATTATATGTAATGACGAAATGACTCTTCTCTTTTATGTTGTAAAACTCAAGCTAATTGGAAGCACTGTTTTATTCTCATAGCTCAATGAACCTGTCTAAAGGGATCAGGGCCTTCACGTACCTATCGAGAGAAATGCAGCACAAATGGAGAATAGATGCTGTCGTCAACAAGACATCTAAGGACGTCCGAACAAGACAGAAAGTATTTCCGTAAGCCCAGTTATTTTCTATCAGCTCAATGGCTCCAAAAGGCATCACCATGACAGACACCAGCAGGTCAGCGAATGCCAGAGACACAATGAAGTAGTTGGTCTTGATTTTGCTGTAAAATAAATGAGTATAATTTAAGGAGCTCGTAAATGATTCGCAACTCAAAATCTGCCCAGACTTAAATATCCAGAGATTTAATTTTTTTAAAAAAACCTTATAAATAACCGATACTTTTAATCGAAAACGGGAATGCATTCTGCTCAATTTTTTACAAATATATTAATTGATATCACTAAAATGACTCTTAGTGTGTGCCTGAGGTATTACTGTGCACGGAACTGCTTTTCATATGTGATAGGGATATGTCATATGTGTAACGACTTTTATTCCTTTCAGAAAATATTCAAAGATAACATTGGAAGTGCAAGCAATCTACAACATATCCTACAACAATGAGTTCACTTGTCATCATACTTGCTACCCCAGGTTCACCACAAAGGAAAATCTGGTTGAGAAATTGTGTTGGTTAACAGAATTTGATGTGTTAACTGACTCGTGAAATCCCAGGTTTGAGAGCATGGAAATACCCACCGTAGCTGCCGATCCTTACAGACAGCCACCATCACCAGAAGATTTCCCAAAACAGTCATCATCATAACAGCAGCAAGAAAGGTGATGAGGACCGTCTTCTGAAGCATAGACAATCCGTTAAGGTCATGTGGCTCACTTTTACTTGCACTAAAAGCCAAGGAGAAATAAGATCTCATCAATGTTAAGGGCCACATGTTGAAACTGCATTCGATTTCAACTGGCTTTTAGTCCTGAAACCAGCAATGAGCGAGGCTACATATGCATCAAAAATAAAAGCAGAAGTCTCTGGGAACACACAGCGGGTCAGGCAGCATCTATGGAGAGAGGAAAATGAGTTAATGTTTCAGTTCAATAACCTTTCGTCATCGAGCTGAAACAGCAACTCATTTTCCTCTTTCCAAAGATGCTGCCTGACCTGTTGGGTGTTCCCAGTGACTTCTGTTTTTATAACAGATTTTCAGCAGCTGCAGTATTTTGCTTTTTGTGTATATATCAGTTTGGCTCAGTCATTAGAATTTTTGCCTCTGAGTCAGGACAAATGATACTGTGATTACAATAAGTAATATCATTGCAAAGATCAATGCTTAAGTCCATCTACTTAAACTCTACATATTTTGAATATAATCTTTTTATTATTATTAAATGACTAACTGTAACTATTTACTATCATTTTTTCCCGTGAGATTAACGTGCACAGGGGAAAAGTATTCAAAGTTCTGCAAACTAATATCCAAGATGTTTATCAAGAATAAACATCATTACCAGTGTCTGTATAAACAGTTAGCTAAGAATATACTTCTACTATTAAAAAACCAGAGAAAGTACTATTTTCTGTGACTTGTCTCTGTGTATTTGTTGATTGATCTGAAGGCTGTGACAGAGCTATTATAAAGGAGGGCTGAGCTTTCTTTCCACTCGAGGCAACAACATTTTGTCTAACACACTGAAAACTATCCTACATTAGCTGGTGAAAGCTCGTGAAAATGGATGTTTGCTCGTTCATTCTTATCTCTAGAAATTCCTCAGCCTCCATCATAGAGCAGCATTGTGCTCGCAGAAACATGCTAAGTTCCTTTGTAACAAAGGTAAAATACTGATGTGGCTAAAGGAAGGAAACAGAGGACAATCTAATAATAATAATAATAATCCTTGCATGTGATGTAGTGCCTTATCACATCTTCGAGACGTCTCAAAGCGCTTCACAGTCAAGTGAATTGACTGTATATTTTGTGGGTGAAATACCGCAACCAATTGTGCACAGCAGTGTCCCACAAGCAGTCGTGGATTGAAGTGACCAATTTATTATTATTTTTTTGAAGGAATTATTACCTCCGAAAAAGCAATCCGCCAATCGATTAACAACCGGGTTCCTACTTACTGCTAGGTAAACAGAGGAGCGTGGAATAAGGAAACTTGCCCAACGTTTCAAACTGCCCGGGAATTGAACCCAGGTTTCTCGCTTGCAAGGCGAGGGCTCTAACCACCGAACCACAGGAATCTAAGGAATGCAATCTAAGGTATTGGGGGAGATATTGAATGCAAACTCCCTTGCTTTTTGAATAATGTTGCCAGGTCTTTACGGTCCACTTGGACAGGCAGATGATAACTGGCGTTATTGTGTATAGAATTATGTCAGCATGGTACCATTTCAGTTTTTAACACTTCAATACATTTTAGAAGACTTCAAACACCATTTGCAATTTTCTCCTCCCTACCTCTCGTTCACATCAGCTTTATCCATCACAAGTAGTTAACATGCATACATTCAGGTTTAGGGCCCACAGAAGATAGGTGGTCCTGTAATAAATAACAAAACGATAGATTAATCTTATTTCTGGCATATTGACATGCAAGAGATGGCAAGTCAAGGAGTTGCACTCTCTGAGCCCTGTTACAGTGACTGTAGCCATCTGAACTCATATAATAATAATCCTAGCATTTGACATAGAGCCTTATCACGTCATTGAGACATCTCAAAGCGTTTCACAGAATATATTGTAAAGTGAATTGACTGTGTATTTGTGGGTAAAACGCGGCAGCCAATTACGCACAGCAGCGTCCCTCAAATAGTCATGGATTGAGTGACTAAATTGTTTTTTTGGAGGTCGAGATTGTGTTGACTCAGTCCTCCCCGCTGATAACCGGAGAAAGCATTCACTTTGCACACTTCTCTCTTGTTGTGAAGCTGCAGGAAATGTATGAGCAGGTAGATCCAAGCTGACACCTGACTGAACTTCACGATTGCTATCCAGCACTAAATAAATTAATGCCTGTTCATTCTGGATTTGCCCCTGAGCCCTGATTGCACTGTTCACTTCAGTACATTCCCCCATCTTCTTATTGACATTTGTCTGCCAATTGGGTGGATTAGTTTCCTACCATTTCACCTCTCCATGTTCAGAACAGTGTGACTTATTTTACGCTTCTTAAAATATTTACGCTAGGGCAGACATGTATGATAGGAGGAATGCACGTTTCATAACTAAAAAAGTCTTTGAAGTGATGAAACTTTCTTGTACTTCCACTTAACCATTGCCACTTTAAATATGAATTGATGAACCTGGAGATAAGCTGTCCCTTCATATCAAACACTGACATTTCCCACCGAGATGTTAGAGAACACACAACCCAGAGCCAGAGTAAGTGGTCCAGAGTTTTGCAATTGGTTTGAGCTGAAACTTCACAGTTCGCTGTCTGTTCTCTGTAGAGTTGATTACTTCTATTACAGAAGCAAACCTCTGTGACAGCCCATTTCACTCTGTCCCTCACACTGTTTACTCTACAAGTGCCATTTTATAAGGTTATTCTGAAGAATTATATTTACTCAGAAACAGCTTTGTGCCAAGGTAGAGTGACTTTCTCAAGCACAGAATTGAAAACTATTCAATCAATCCAATTTACGGTATATTCTGTGAAGTGCGTTGAGACGTTTCGAAGATGTGATAAAGCACTACATCAAATGCAAGGATTATTATTATGATGATTATCTTGGTAGATCTGGATTTCTGTGCCAAGTGGGCAACCATTGTGTTGTTTTCCACCCAACATCCATTTGAATAAAGCATAACATTGGAGGCAATAAATGTGAAACTGTTTGAAATCTGAACCTGCAACATTCGCTGTTGATATTATGAGTCTGGTTTCTGCACAGTCTGCAACTACTCTGCTTTGAAAGCAAACTTTTCCATTCACTTATTTGGGAGCATTTGGAACAACAGTTTGATAACAACAGGGTTCCTTCCACTTGTATGGTTTGTGCGCTCAGCCTAACACACTGACTTTGCTCAGCAACCTTCAGATGTTACTTTTGAGCCATGGTTGTTTGCTGCTTTTTCTCTCTTTGACTAAAAGTCTCGCAAGCGAGATGCCCTGGGTTTGATTCCTGGACAGGGCGAAACCTTAGGCAAGTTTTCTTTACTTTACACCCCTCTGTTTACCTAGCAATAAGTAGGAACCCGGTTGTTAGTTGATTGGCAGATTACTTTTATGCCGGTAATAATTCTTTTTTAAAAAAAATTGGTCACTCAATCCACGAGTGTTTGTGGGACACCGCTGTTCGCAATTGGCTGCCGCGTTTCGCCCAAAAAATATAGTCAATTCACTTTGCGGTATATTCTGTGAAGTGCTTTGAGATGCGATAAAGCGCATGCAAGGATTATTATTATTATTATTACAGCATCCCCTATGATGCCAGCACACTGACAGGCTGGGATGGACAATATAATGGGCTGCTGCTTGGCTAACTCCCCTGATCTCAATCATTGGGGAAAGAAAGATCGTTCTGTGTTTCACACGCTGTGTTTTAGCAGCAGCTACACTCTTTGGGGTTGCGGGGAACCTTTCTGTCAATCGGTTTTATTACTAACATAAAATAACACAGATTGACTCCAAATATACAGTCAATTCACTTTACAGTATAGCCTGTGAAGCGCTTTGAGACGTCTCAAAGACGTAATAAGCTGCTCTATCACATGTAAGGATTATTATTATTATAGATATCAGGTTACCAGCCTGGCCATCGCCAGGTTCAGGGTTTATAATGTGGATTTCCAATATTTGGTTTGCCTTTTGGGTGAGACTGAAAGGTCCCCCAATAAGTCCTCCCAATTATGTGTACTTATGTGAACCAGGTTAGTTTATTGTGGAGTCAGGAATGACTTCTTCACTCCACACCAGCTACAATTCCTGAAGAATCTTGTTTGCTTTTCCTGTGGGTGAAGATGTTACAGGTCTGACAGGACAGCTCAGCACATCGCCCAAGAAAGCCATCTGGGCTTGTTCCCTGGGCTGGAGAGAATTCACTGCAACCCTTTGTGTGGCCTTAATTACTGTTTGCAAGATAAGTTACCATCATCAGTGTCACCAGCATTTCCCAGGCAGTTAGTTGGGAGCAGATAGTTAGGAGCAACAACAATAACAACAACAAATTACACTTGTATATTGCCCTTCACATCGGAAAGACGTCCCAGGATGCTGGACTGTCCGGGTTTTTCTTAGTTAGGAGTAGGAGAGGTTAGTTAGGAGATGTTAGTTTGAAGAAAAGGGACAGACAGATAAATTAGGGTTTATTCAGATAGCTGTCCCTCCGAGCCATTCTCTACCCACGCGATTGGAAAGCTTCCAGCCTGGGTTTGCTGTAACATCAATAATTTACCCTCCGTTACACATCGATTACCCTCAGGCAGAGATGCTCCCGCTGCACCAGCACCGTTCACCTGCACTCTGGTGTCAGGGGATGTGCACAACAACAACAAATTACATTTGTATAGCGCCTTTCACATCGGGAGGACATCTCAAGGTGCTAAAATATACACAGCCCCTTGCTTCTCACACTCCCTGGCCAGGGACCCAAGCTTGTAATACAGGACATAACTCACTCTCTGAGGCTTGTAATAGGGACATCATTCACTCTGAGGTGTGTAATACAGGAACACCCCTCTCTCTCTGAGGCTTGTAATTACAGGAACAGTCAACAGTCTAATTGACAACTTTTGTTTCTGGGTGGATAACGAAATCGATTTACCAATGACAGGAAGGGACTGAAATACAGAGAAAACTTACTACTGCAATTGCCAACAAACCACAATGATTAATTGTGATAATTACCAACAGTTACAAAGCATTGCACATCCCTTGTCTCTAGCTGTCTGTCTGTGTGCAACAGGCAATCCAGCTGGCATCAACCTCACTCATTCACTGAGATGCCCAGCAGAGACCCAGCTTGGCAGGGGGTTAGGTCAGCAAAGAAAATCTCTTACCATTTCACTCTGGCTGAAATATTCCCAAACAGCATGTTACCCTCTCAGGAATGCAGATGGCTTCATTTCCACAGTGAGGGAGGGGGTGGCAATTGGAATAAAGTGGGTAAAGTTTTGAAATTTGATCAAGTCCTGTCTCTCCTTCTGTTCACAGCTTCCAAATGACTTCTTGGATTTTAGCAAAGACTTGTCCCCATCTCTCTCTTTCTCTTTCTCTCTCTCTCTCTCTCTGACTCTCCCCAAAGGGCAGCTTCAGACGTGAGCATTAAGCAGGACTTGCTTTTGTTGGTGAACAAATCATTTCAGGTCTTGTTTGACTCGTCTGGAAATCAAGAGACTTAATCCAGAGAAGAGAGGAGTTGAGTGCCTGGACCTGGGAGTGCTGTGGGTGTGAGTGAGAGAGAGAGAGTGAGTGAGTGAGTGAGTGAGGCTCTCAGAACAAATCAGCTAATGCTCTCACTGAGCTGTAGCTGTGTGGTTAGGAGAGGTTGATGGTGACTGAAGGAATCACAGTCTGTCTGTCTCAGTTTTCTCTACAACAACACAGGCGCCACGACAAGGCAGAGCAGAGAACATTTTTTTCTGCAGGAGGCAGAAATGCACTCACAATCAGAAGTTAGCAATGAGAATAATGCTATATTGCTATACGTGCCTGTTCAAAATATGGTTATTGTACGACAAAACAATGCTATAACTAATTGTTCCAGGTGTTTAAGTTAGAACTGATTGGTATGTGATATTGTACTATATTATATTATATTATAGCTGTACCAATGACTTATTTTTTCAATAATACATAGTAATAATAATCTTTGCCTTTGATGTAGCGCCTTATCGCGTCTTCAAGACGTCTCAAAGCGCTTCACTGAATGTACTGTAAAGTGGATTGACTGTATGTTTGGTGGGCGAAACTCGGCAGCCAATTGCGCACAGCAGCGTCCCCACAAACAGTCGCGGGTTGAGTGACCAAATTATTTATTCTTAAAAATGTATTTGCTCAAAATATAAATATTGTACAATAAAAATATGGCTGCACTACAGACAGGCAACATTGACTTGAATGTATAGAATATATCCTGAATCATCCGTAAGACAGGCATCACTTCATCAAACAGTATTTAAAATGAAAAAGGGCAAAGCACGATGAAGGTATCGGGTGAGTGATTCAAACTGCATTATCTTTCTGCATTAGGAGCAATTTGAGTTCAAGTAGCAAACCAAATGAAAGAGTAGTGTGATGAACATGGGTGTGAATTGATGCAAAGTGCTGAGGTTTACTTTGGAGTGAAAATCCTCGACTGACAAGGGACCTCAGCGTAAGTGGGCTCCAATCTCCCTGTCTTTCATCACTGTAGCCCTTGATCAAGGGCAGTTATGAAGATCATTCATTTCACTAGCATTTTATTGTGCATCACAAATGCATTTAGTTGTGACGCTTTCATTTTATGCTGAAGTCCACAGTAAAACATGCAGCAGCACCGAACAAAGTGTGGAGCAAGTTTGGCATTTTGCAATGTGAGAAACTACGCTGATTTAGGACTAGAGCAATCTAACACTGATGTTAAATGTATACCCTTTGGAACTCCATCCCACATTCCCTTCGCCTCGCTCCCTCCCTTGCCTTCTTCAAGGCACGCTTCAAAACCCTCTTCTTCAACCGCACCTTCAGCCACCTCCTACCCTCCCTACCCTCCACCCTCCCAGATCCCAATTCCCAGCTCGGGTCCTAATCCCTGACTGTCCAGCACCTTTGACCGTCCTCCCGAAGTGAAAGGCGCTATACAAATGTAATTTTGTATTGTATTGTTCCAGTCTGTGATCAGACTTCGATTAACACAGTCATATTCCCATTATTTCCTTCCATTCACACTCGCTGTGCTGCTTTGTTGATTTTCCTGTATCCAACTGATACAAACAATTGTAATAAAAATCTAATGCAAACAAATAAAGGTTTCGTTTATTGTGCTCTCGATATCGGGTATTTACGGGAAGATTTACATCCAAGTTCTAATAATTTACATCTCACAACTTTCTATTCTTATCTATTAGTAACGTATTTAAAGGGGATCGGTTCCTTTAAGGATCAGTAGATTGTATTCTTGAACAAATGCTTACCTAGAAATCATTTATTCGTATTTTTCAGATATTTGCAGTGCGACAGAATGAAAGATCAAGCCTTTGTCATTGAATGTATTGAAACATTGACAGTTGGATAATTGGATAGCAGCCCATCAGAAATATGCTGGTAATGGATAATGTACTTCATTTGAAAGCTGCGTTTTCAAATGGCACTTACAGTTAATCTCTAAATCCCTACATGAATTAACTAATTCAATATTTATTATCTGAATACATCTGCATTCACGTTATTTCCCAACCAGGTGCCAAACTCCAGTACTAAATAGTTCAAGCCCCCAATTATACCAATTAATGACCCATTACAAAAAAGGTGGCTGACAATAATTACTAACGGCACAGAATTAGGCTGATGGCCGCTTTGAGAGCTCGAGTGTTACATTTACACAATAGAATCAAGTCAGGCTTCAGTGATCTGAATTATCAGTGATTATGGAGACTGTCTCACATCTTTGAAAGTAGAGTTCCTGGAGCCTCATATTAATAATAATGATCCTTGCATTTGATACAGCGCCTTATCACGTCTTCGAGACGTTTCAAAGCCCTTCACAGAATATGCTGTAAAGTGAATTGTCGGTGTATTTGGTGGGCGAAACGCAGCAGTCAATTATGCAGAGCAGTGTCCTACAAACAGTCGTGGATTAAGTGAACAAATTATTATTATATATATTTTTTGAAAGAATTGTTACCCCCAGAAAAGAGAGCTGCCAATCGACTAACATACGGGTTAGGGGAGTTTGGAGTAAGGAAACCCACCCAATGTTTGTTTCGCCCTGCATAGATAATCGCCGTGGATTGTACAGGCTAACCCTAACCCTACGTTCACACGCTCTTTCCATGTGGAAAAAAAAATGACTTAGAATTTTGTACTCCAGGCTTCTCATAAAGAATTAGGACTTAGGACCAGGAATTTTAAAAGGTTTTTTTTTAGAAACTATTTATAAACAGTAAAAAGCTTATGAAAAGCTTAGTCTCCTCCAGAAAGTTTAATTTACAATCCAATTCCTTTGACTGCATTATAAATGGAGATAAATGCTATTGTGTGTCAAGTATAAATTCCTGTGTATTGTGCGCTTTGTGAAAACAATTATCTACAAACCGCAGCGGGAGCTAATAAACGGGTCTATCTCAGACTCGGTGAGAGCAGGTTTCCGGAGAAGCTATTCCCACCGTTCTCTGAGTTGATAACTAGAGGGAACAGCTTTAAGGTAATAACCGAAAAGAAGAAAGGGAGAATTTAATGGTAAGTTAAAAGTAATTAGGTTCTTCCCACTCGTCTCCCGATCGCCCTGCAAATCAAAGCATTTGCTGTGCGTGGATGGATTGTGTCTCATCTCATAACTCGGGTTCTTATGCTTTTTGTGCCTTTAAGCAGGTCACATTGGTACAAAATGCACAACTGTATCTGATTAATCGCCCCTGCGCCAAGCAAGACGATAGAGTCGGAGACAGAAAAGGATATCAAGTTGCTTTTGCAATTGATTTAGAGGAACACTTTATTTGGTTTATGCACTGGCATTTCTTTTGTACCACTGAAGATTACACTGCATTCAAATAACTACTTGCTCTTTAAGGAAAGTAAAAGGAAAGCTTTAGTCTGGTTGATCTATACCTTACATGGGCTGAGTAATCCAATTTGAAGGTCAGTGAGTCCTTTTTACATTATTTATTAAGGAGACAAGGTTGTTCTCATTCAGTTGGTTGTACATATTGTGACAATATGTTCAAAGGATTACCATCCCGTTATGCTGAACTATTAAATGTAGTGCCAATCAGAATAATTTCTGCTGTGTAAGAAATTCAAGCTGTAAAGAAAATTACTTACAATTGTCATGGATACTTAAACTGAATGTGCGAAATGGATCCATCCAAATAATTTACGTTCCCTGAACCCTTATAATAATAATAATAATCCTTGCATTTGATATAGCGCTTTTCACGTCGGGAGAACGTCCCAAAGCGCTTCACAGAACACACTCTAAAGTGAATTGACTGTATATTTGTGGGCGAACGCGGCAGCCAATTGCGCACAGCAATGTCCCACAAACAGTCGTAGATTGAAAATGACCAATTTATTATTGTTTTGGGTTTTGGAGGGATTATTATTATATTATATATATTATTATGATAAAACGATGCTGTGTTTTATTTTTATTTTACCTTAAATTGAACAAAGTCCTTTTTTGGGGTAACTTTTCTCCTTGTCTAAGAATGTTAAGAATAGTTCCCGAGATCTTGGCCGACCCAAGTGACAATTTTTCATGACTGAGATCACAATGTATATCTCAGTACAGAACAATATCCTGCCACACCTAGCATTAGCAGAGTAATCAATAGGTAATCTTTTACCAATTATACCAAACAAACTCAACATAAATTCATACCTATATAACAGTGTATGGAGCCCTGTAGCTTAGTGGTTAGAGCACTTGCCTCACAAGCGAGAGACCTGGGTTTGATTCCCAGCCGGGCAAAACTTTGGGCACGTTTCCTTACTCCAATGCCTGATAATAATCCCTCAAGAAAAGAAAATAATAATAAACTGGTCACTTCAATCCACGACTGTCTGTGGGATGCTGCTGTACGCAATTAATAATAATAATAATCCTTGCATTTGATATAGCGCTTTTCACGTCGGGAGGACATCCCAAAGCGCTTCACAGAACACACTGTGAAGTGAATTGACTGTATATTTGTGGGCGAACGCGGCAGCCAATTGCGCACAGCAATGTCCCACAAACAGTCGTAGATTGAAAATGACCAATTTATTATTGTTTTTGTTTTTTGGAGGGATTATTATTAGACGTGTGGAGTAAGGAAACTTGCTCAAGGTTTCGCCCTCTGCCTGGGATTGAACTCAGGTCTCTCGCTTGCAAAGCGAGTGCTCTAACCACTGAGCTACAGGACTCCACAATTGGCTGCTGCATTTCGCCCACAAATTCACAGTCAATTCACTTTACAATATATTCTGTGAAACGCTTTGAGATGTCTAGAATATGTGAAAAGCACTATATCAAATGCAATAATTATTATTATATTACTATGTAGTGGCTGTGCAGTATTGCAGAAGTGCCAAGTACCAGTTAAAATGTCACTAAATGAACCAAAAAGTGATGGGAAAACTTTATGAATTATGACTCATTGTTAGAGTTAGGTATTAATCATGGCTAGATTGAGAAATGTGGTCTACATGAAAAATATTATAAGCGGTAAAAGGCAACATTCACAATAATTATGCAGAACGTGGAATAAACGTGCTCTCTCCTCTCTCAAGAGCTGACAGCAGCCGTCATTAATTCCAATGTTCGAGAATAGTTTCTCACTGTGAACCAATTGCTTATCTCTCTCCTCACAAATGCCACCTACAGGACGGACACACGCTTCACGTATCATCTTTTTATTGTCATGGAAACAACTTGAGCAACTTCTGTTCACAATTTCATGCCTGACCCAAAAGTGCTGAAATAAAGTGAATTCATGGGTGGAAAAAATGGAACAGATTGCCTCAAAAGATGATAGATTTCAGCGCGCTGAGGCATTCAAAGCAGATAAATGGATGTATGCATCACAGGTAAGGAAATGCATGGATATGGAGAAAAAGCAGAGTCGTGAAATTGTTCTGCCTTTGTACATACGTGTCTTAAAGCAGCAGCGGCAGTGAATAGGAAATATTCTAAACTCTGTAAAAAAAAATTCACATAAAGCAGAATGGTTGTGGGGCACTGTTGTGTGCAATTGGTTGCTGTGTTTCGCCCGCAAAATATATGGTCAATTCACTTTACAGTATATTCTGTGAAGCACTTGAGACGTCTTGAAGACACGATTAAGGCGTTATATCAAATGCAAATATTATTATTAGAATCCAAGAGCATCCATGGCAGCTCAATGCTGTCAATATCATTCTTTATTTTTCCAGACTTGGGTCCAAATGCTTTAATAGCCTAATCATCTCTAATTGAGGGAGAAGTGGCTCACATAAGTCACTAGTTTTTTCTACAGAACAATGTGTAGAATCTTAGAACAATCAACTCTAAGATGAGCCAAAAACACAGTTAAGTTGTTGCTTTTATGTAAAGCACCAATTCTACATTTTAATGGGATTAAATAAGAGAAAACTGTGAATGATTTAGATGATGCCACTGTTAGACGTGTTTGGAAACAGCTTAAGAGTTATTAATTGGTATAAAACAGCCCAAACATAAGTTTATGCAGTTCATTTTATTGAACAGTATAAATCATAACAGATATGTAAAAGCCAGAATTAAAGCAAATATTACAAATAATTGATCCATTTTCTTTACAAAATGTTGAATCTTGGCGACACAAATATTTTGATACACAAATTGCCAATGAGATACTTTTCATTCTGGATATGAAGCAAATTGCAGCTTTGTAACTCGGACAAAATCCAAACGCAAGCCTTTTTTAAAACTGTGGACAACTATTGCAGGTAAACATCAATGAAGAATTTCCGTTGACGTAAAATGGGACAAGATATCTCATCGTAAAAAAATTATCCTTGGCTCTCCAGTGCAAAGTTCCCAGGGTTTGGGTACAAAATACAATCAGGTTTAAATGCCATTCGTAATGCGGAATAATTTCACACACACAAAACATTGAAATTTGACATTATTATTAGTGCATTGTGAATTTTGACATTGCAAATATTAAGGTCCATATTAACCAATTACACGGCACGGTACCCTTTTTAAAATTGCGATCGATACCAGGGTGATCAATAGACAGCAAAAATATAGAAAAGATTTCAAACAAATAGACATGTTCATTTAGCTCTGTGCACAACAGCAGCAACATTTGTATAGCGCCTTTCACGTCGGGAGGATGTCCCAAGGCGCTGGATGATCAGTGATTCGGACCCAAGCTGGGGATCGGGGAGGGTGGAGAGCAGGTGGGGTGGGGGGGGAAGACCATGATCGAAGGCATGGTCGAAGAGGAGGGTCTTGAAATGGGTCTTGAAGCAGGCAAGGGAGGGGGTGAGGTGGAGGGACTGTGGGATGGAGTTCCAGAGGGTGGGGGCAGAGTGGCTGAAAGCCCGCCGGTCAGTGGTGGGGTGGGCGAGGCGGGGGACGTGAAGCAGGCCGAAGCCCGCTGAGCAGAGGGAGCAGATAGGTTGGTAGGTGCTTAGGAGGTCACAGAGCTGGCAGGGGGAGCAAGGCCGTGGAGGGCTTTGAAGGCGAGGACCAGGATCTTGAATTGTATCCTCTGTGTGATGGGAAGCCAGTGGAGTCGGGCGAGGATGGGGATGATAGGCACAGAGCCTGGTGCGGGAGAGGACATGGGTTGTAGAGCTTTGGGTAATCTGCAGCCGATGGAGTTGGGGAGGCCGACAAGCAGTGAGTTTGCATAGTCAAGCCTGGACGTTATGAATGTGTGTATGAAGGATGTGAGTCAATGTGTGCACTGTTTTTTTTGAGTGAAATGCATAATAGCTTTGATGCAACTTTCAGAACGCTATTTGTTAAAGGTCAGATGATCAACACAATCTATTTGAAGCACAACTTTCTCACGCGATTAAAAAAAAACTTAGAATTCCAGCAAATACATTTTGTTAAAAAAAATGAAGTATAAATAAAGTTCTCAGAGATGTTTCGACACTGGCTTCATAAAGTTACCAATATTAACACAATGCATTAATAATAATATCCTACAAGTTATGAAACCAAATTAAATTAAAACTATAGAATTTATTCGGTTTGATTTAATGTGATCAGAATACACCAATAGAAAAAAAAAACTATAAAACACCGAGTATAGCTATCTAGTATCTTTCACAGTAGAAAGACATCTGAAAACATTCCACACAGCTGGCGAATTGGGAGGGGAGCCAAGGGTAAATGTGGGCAAACCACATAAATTTTTATTTTTCATAAAATAATAATCCTGGCATTTGATATAGCACCTTACCACGTCTTCGAGACAGCTCAAAGTGTTTCACAGAATACACTGTAAAATGAACTGACTGTATATTTTGTGGACGAAACACAGCAGCCATTGCGCACAGCAGCGTCCCACAAACAGTCGGGTGATGAGTAACCAACTTATTATTTTTTTTGAAGGAATTATTACCCCCGGAAAAGTGATCCGTCGATCGACTAACAACCGGGTTGCTACTTACTGCTAATTAAATAGGTGTGCGTGGAGTAAGGAAACTCACCTTCCTGGGAATCGAACCCAGGTCTCTTGCTTGGGAAAGCGGGTAGAGAGGCTGAAGGCCCATCCAGTGATGGTGGGATGGAATGGATGAGCGGGGAACGTGAAACAGGCTGGCATTTGTGGAGCAGAGAGAGTGGCCCTGGGTCACAGAGGTAGAAACCAGAAAAACACACACATCACGATTTCTAATGACGCTGAATAAATGTAGGATCTGCATTGGGACTAATGTGCAAATGTTGATAAAGACCCCAGCACTGAGCTCAGTTCCTAAAAATAGGTATTGATAAACAATCGTACGAAAAGGATAACGTATATTCTAAAGGTAAACACTTCATTATTAAGACCCCCTTCATATCAATTTCGTAAACATTACAAAAACGATTCCAACAAGTGCAAAATGTTCTAGATTTATATTATTCACAGATCAATCGCGCTCTTTTGAGATGATTTATTATTATTATGATTGAACTCTCCACTCCACCAGCTGATAAAGGTTGGACATTACATGTTGAACTGTCAATTAAGACATACAAGGCAGGATATACTGACAAGGGTTTCCAACTCTAAATGGGGGAGAAATTGTCCCTGAATGTGGATTGACTTGATTTGTATGACATTTCAGTGTCCAGAATTAGACAAATTCCCAAATTCACGCTTTACTTTGAGGATGTTTTTCTGCCAGTTCTTCTCAAGACTAAATTCAAGAACTTCTCCCCAACATTACACCAAGACTTGAGCTGATGAAAGTCAAACTGTCTTTCCTTAAAACAAAGTTATCATTGCAGTTTTTATATTGGTCCTGGACGTCATCAGTACTTGCTGATGACAATGTGATTCTGTACATCTGCACTAAATACCATCTTTCCTCTCGATTTGACACCTCGTTACCTTCTGATTATAGCAACACTTTGGTCCAAAACTGTTAGGCATTGAATTTGTAGCAGCAAATGGCATTGAATTGAATTCAGTCACAAACTCAATATTAAGGCCGATAAATGTTTAACATTTCCCAACACTTCTCGCGCAACTCCTGGGTTTCCCCATGAGTCAACTTCACCGAGTGACAGGAAAGTCCTTGTGTGGTGGTGAGTTTTTCAAGACAGCCATAAAAACAATTATTATTTGCATTTACACAGCATCCTTCATGCAGGGTATCTGGTTGGAGCGCTTAACAGTGGCAGAGCCTGACGTCGAGTCTCGGGGAGGAGGAGGAGACTGTAGGCATAGGTGAAGAGGAAGATCTTCAGGCACGACCTGAAGATGGGGGAGGAAGAGACAAGGTGGACGTATCGAGGAAGAGTGTTCCAGAGTTTTGGGGCGTAGTGGCTGAAAGAGCGGCCGCCAACGGTGGAACGGAGGGCTCGAGGGACATGCAGAAGGCCGGAGCCAGTCGAGCGGAGGCAGCGTGTTGTGGGTTGGGGGATAAGCAGGTTGGAGAGGTAGAGAGGTGCCAGGGTGTCTTCAGGTGTGATTTGAAGATGGACAAGGAGAGGGGAAGTCGGAGTGATTGGGGGAGGGAGTTTGAGTGTCTCGGGGCATAGTGGTTGAAGGCACGGCTGCCAATGGCTATGAGGGACATGCAGGAGGCCGGAAACTCCTCTATTCAAAGTCTCTGCTCTATAAAAGCCAAGGGATCAGCCCTATCTCGAAGCACAATTGTTGACAGTGATGGTTCCAGACCGCACCTCAGATGTGCTTACTTCCTGTAAAGAACGTTTACTCTGATCAACCTTTTACCATTGAAATTAAATGTGTAAACCAGCCATAAAGTGGGAATGTAACAATTGAATTAAAATTTTAGCCATTTTCATATAAAAACATTACACCTCTCACCCCCGTTTGCAGGTTCCTTTAACCTGTTCTTTCAAAAATGTTAAAAACTCTTCAAAAATAAATATTTGATAAATTTGTTACAAAAATACACCTGCGGGAATTTAACATTGTTTTATATGAATGCAATTATACAGGAATGTTTAATTCTAATTAATAGGAGCTGCATAGGATATTTTTACATCTGTGATAAAACAGGTTCTCCAAGTGCATAGGAAACCCACACTCAAAAAGATTAAGGCCAGAAAGATTTTGGACATGAAATGACATAGTTCATGTTTCTTGCCCAAAAAATGTCCCAGAGACAGAAGTTGCCCTTTTGATATTCTCACTGTGGCGTGACAGTGAATATTAACATTGAGTTACTGGCTTGACACCTAACCATTGCTCTGCCCCTTGTTTAAAACGTATGTCACAGCGTCATGAACACTGCAAAATGCTAAAGTGTTGCTATCACTTCCTTCAAAGTAGTTTCCTCTCTGAAGACTATTGATAACTGAAGCATTGCAGTTTGCAAGAAGGATCTGGATGCCGACAAGCTTGTAATCGCGAAAGGTTTCCTTCACTGTGGCTATACCTGCAGAGTCTAAGAACTGAATAGCCGAACAATCTATGATAAGCGTCTGGAAATCAAACTCCGGTTTAAACAGTTGCATCGTCACCTCGTACGACTTGCAAGTCTCGGCATCTTTCTGTTTTTTTTCCCGCAAGTGAATCTTCCTCTCTGCTTTCTTCTGAGCCATTGTTACCTGAGGGGGGTTCACTCCTGTCTGCTTATACAGTGCTGACTTGAAGCCCTCCTTGTTAGCGTAGTACAAGGCGGCCTCAAACCGGAATATTTTAATTCCGGGTACCATTTTGAGATGCTTGTACACCCCCAGATCTTGATAGATTTCAGTCCCATCTAAACGGCCAAGCAGAGAAGCTGTCGGCAGCTGCGTCCGTATAATGACACAGAAGACGGAGAGAACGACTCCAATCAGGAGGCCGAGTTCAGTGCTAATCAGAGCGGAGCAGAGCATGGTAATAAACCATATGCAGGTATCCACCTTGCTCAAATGCCACATCTTGGGCAAGTCAATAAACTTCCTCAAAGCACCTCTGAGATTTACAATAGTCACAACACCCAAGACACATTTCTGGAGCGAGTAAAAGAGAGGAGCGAGCACAAGGAGGACGAGGAGCAAGACTAAACTGGTAACTATGCTAGACAGTTGGGTCTTACAACCCGTGGATTCTTTCACAAGAGTCTTGGCCAAAGCCGCGCTGGTCGTAAAGCAATGAAAAAACGAGGGGATGATGTTACAGAAACCGATCGCGAACATTTCTTGATTGGCTCTCACATTGTAGCTATGCTTCTTGGCAAACATTTCCGAGAGGGAGACGGTGATGGCAAAACCGATGATGGCGATGGGAAAAGCACCAGGAGCAACCCGGCCAAGGATGCTCCAGTCTGGGAAGGACGGTGGCTGGAATCCCGTGGGAATGTCTCCAGAGACACTGGAATCGTATTTGACATTCAGATTTCCGTAGTGTGAGATCAAAGTGGCAACGATAACAACTAGAAGCTCCCCAGGAATCGGTCCTTTCAGCTTGGGTTTGCACCTTGCGTTGACTTCTTTGATAGGTACGAGCACTAAAAGACACAGAATGCTGGTTATCAGGTCACATAGGTTGGTTTTATGGATATTTCTAAAGATTTCTACCCAGGTTAGTATGAGTGATCCAGGACCCCGGGGCTGGTTGATCTTGATCCCTAGAAGGTACTTAACTTGCGACGTGAGGATGGTGAATGATGCTCCAGTGACAAAGCCACTGAGCAAGGAATCAGACAGGTAGACGGACACAAAGCCGATCTGGAAGAGGCCAAAGGCCACCTGAAAGTGGATCAAATAAAACTAGTGATTACTGTGTGACTGACAATGCAAACGGCTTAAGCCTTCAATAACTTCAACCTGCTTCAGGTGGAATTCTCTCCATTTGCTATGACTGTAGTTATTTCTCTCCACACTACGCTGACTTGCCACACAACCCTGTAACTAATATATTTATATTTTGATGAGATATTCTCGTCTCGACCTTGCTGAACTGTAGTGATCTCACACTGTGAAGGAAAAAGTAGCTTTTGGTGTAGATAAGGTTGGGCAAATTGTAACAAAGTCCACAAGTTAATGATTAATCGCAGGAAAACCAAAAGGATTTGACCTGTGATAAGTGGCCACTTTGGTCTATTTAAAGAGTCCACAAATGCTAGAGTGCGTCTCAGTCATAAACCAGAAGAAATTCATTCTAACCTCTTCTATTAATAATTATTATATCAATAAATTTAGCCCAGTCAATCCACTTTAAATATGTATATTATGTGAAGCGCTTTGAGAAGGCTGAATGATGTGACAACGCACTATATCAAATACAAAGATTATTTCTATAACCTCCCCTACACTGTGGCCGGCAATTTGCAATGCATCCCCCCTAGTGCAACGGTCTATGTTTCTGTGTTGCTAACGACTGCTCTACGCTCAATTAGCTGAGTTTGTATTGTGTATCGCGCATGAAACACAGATGGTGGGTTTACCTGATAGATTCCAGCCATGAATGTTACTGTTGAGGCAATAGCGATGGAACGACAGCTGACATCGCAATCGCTTGCTGTTGAATTCTGAACAGCCTCAAACTGCAGCTCTGCATCCACCACCTCTCCAATCATTAGGCAAAGCACGCCGAAGATACCCACCGAGATGTGCTTGGATGTTCCCATCAGGAAGTAGATAATGCAGGCGAAAAATGAGGTATACAGGCCATATTTTGGCTCCTGCCCCGCCAGCAGTGAATAGGCTATGGATTGAGGCACCAACAGGATGCCTACAATCAGCCCAGACATGATATCCCCAAAAATCCACTCTCTCCACCTGTACTTGGGAAACCACTGCAAGACAGGAAAGAAGCCAGTGACATACTGCTTGGCATTTTGGGGGGTACAAGCGCAGTACTTTTTCAGCTTTTTCACGGCAATTTTCTTAATGTCAATTGGTTTTTTTTCATACTTTTCTAAGACAATGGGGGAGTACTGCTGGTGCCTGGGGCCAGGGGAGACTTGTGTTTCGACTTCAGATGTGATTTCGCCGTTGTTAGCTTCTGTTGAAGTCATCTTGGCCGGTGAGTGTCTGAAACAAGAAACAGAAAGCTCTTCGATAACTACAACGACAATCCTCGCATTTGATACAGCGCCTTATCACGTCGTTCAGACGTCTCAAAGCGCTTCACAGGATACGCAGTAAAGCGGAGTGATTGCATTTTGTGGATAAAGCGCGGCAGCCAATTGCGCACAGCAGTGTCCAACAACCCGTCGTGTCAATAATCAGCGATATTTAGAAGAAAGCAGATTTGAGTTTAGACAAGCGTATAAACACGGACATCAGTAGTCTGAGAGAGCAAGGCCTTTCTCAGGGAGAAATGAGACAACACAAACCAAATAACAACACGATTAAACCTGACACTTCACTTTGCTATTTGTTACTGATGTTTATCAAATAACAGCACATGGATTTTTGCAAACACTTTATCAGAATTTAAATTACTTTCATCAAGAACTTAGATTTCTTTCAGACAGCGTCAAACTGTAGGCGTTGTTAGATTCGATCTGAACTTTGCAATGTGGGCAGTAAATCGCCCGTTGTACTACGTTGGCCTGAATCGATCGGTGCATGCTTGAAAGCAATCAAAGGTAATACGGTATAATTAACACCAGAATCAAAGATCACATTGAAGTAATCAGAGATGGACCTCGGGAGCAAAGATCATATCTGCACTTTCATTCTCTCCCCTTGCTCACAAAGATCACTACTCTTTACTCCAGGAACATTGTGAACAGGGAGTTTTCACAACTTACTATTTTCTGTCAGGTTAGGGGAAAGGTTTACAATTTCCACTTTGGCAAACTGCCTCTAATTCATTCCATTGCAATAGTAGGATGCTGAGAACAATGGCAAGTGCACAGATACGGCCCTTAATAGAGCATTGTGGTTTGAGATCATTTTATAGAATAACTTTGCATTCGATATCATCTGACACACACATTGATGGATTCAAACATCCGCTTGGCTCACACATTTAGGATTGTCTTTGGAGACACACACGCACCCACACACAACAAAGAGCAAACACACACACACACACAGCACACAAATACTTGAATCAAATATAATCTGTCATCCTCACTGAAATTATGGCCTTGTAACGTTCATTTTTTTTTTGGATCAGCCGGGTGTCTGACAAACCCATCGCCGTGCTTAAGAGTATCCTAACCAAGCTGAGAATTCCATGCGTCCCACCTACACATATAAATTCCAGAGATAGATGGTTGGAATGGAATGCGTTCTCTCTCCCTGGAGGGACACATCCTGCTTACCTCATTCCGGAAAGTATTAGGTGCAGGTTGGCCAAGAGCTGCAAAATGATATTGCGGAGGTAAGGAATTTGACCCTATTAAAACGTGTTTAGTGACCCGATTACAATACAATAGGTGGCTTTGCGCTCACTCCTAGTTTCCCATGTAAATAAGGGAAAATGGATTCTGTATTCCACACAATAGCTGTCGGGAACCTAATCTGCTTCTGCTTTTATTTCTTGCTGTAGTGGAGACAAGTTTGCGTTGTCTTCCCCTGGTCTCCATCGAAAGGGCTTTGGGGAAACTCATCAATCTAAACTCATCAGTCTAAATGCTATCGCCACCAGCCTGAGCTCTCTCATTGTCACTCATTCTATTTTACACTGCCCGTTGTCACTCTTTGTAAAGAACAGGTTATATATGAACATTTTTATTAACTTAAGAAACAAATCCAATTAACAATAAGGACGTTTGCAATATAAGATGGTTTTAATGGAGGTCTGTAGAGGGTTGGTCCTTCCACGAAAGGGCCGTGAAAGTGGCTGCAATTCTGCAAACCATCTTTCAGGCTCGCACAAGCAGGTCTTGACACAGATGCCAACACTGACAGTGATAACTAACTAACTAACTAACAACAACTTGCATTTATATAGTGTCCCTCACACAGGATAAGCATCGCAGAGCGACAGTGGTAGCTTGGGATGTCCTCCCGACGTGAAGGGCTACACAATTGTAATCTTGTTGTTGCTGCTGCTGTTGTTGTCGAAGGCAGAGTTTCACTTGAAACAGTGGCTTCTCTGACAGAAATAACCCAAAAGCCCTTTCCAATAAAACTTATCAATATAGTTCGGGTTTTAAAGCGATCGCCATTCGGAGGATAGAATGAGACTTTTATGAAACGCTATGTTCCAGACCATTGTTGTCCAACAGGTTATTATTATATTTAATTAACAAATATCTGCCACCCTCAGTGTGAAAGTCTGCAGACTTCTCTTCACTTTCGCAAGACACATCACACCTGGCCCTGCTCTCCATCCAGAAGGTGATTGGATGCTGTTTGCCCTTTGCCATGCAGTAGGAGCTGTTTATTAATAATAATAATAATAATCCTTGCATTTGATATAGCGCTTTTCACGTCGGGAGGACATCCCAAAGCGCTTCACAGAACACACTGTAAAGTGAATTGACTGTATATTTGTGGGCGAACGCGGCAGCCAATTGGCACAGCAGTGAGCGTCCCACAAACAGTCGTAGATTGAAAATGACCAATTTATTATTGTTTTTGGTTTTGGAGGGATTATTATTAGGTGTGTGGAGTAAGGAAACTTGCCCAAGGTTTCGCCCTCTGCCTGGAATTGAACTCAGGTCTCTCACTTGCAAAGCGAGTGCTCTAACCACTGAGCTACGGGACTCCATAATGGACGCGTGAGCTTTCTTCTGCTGGTCTGGAGTGGATATTCTGCTATTGGTTGAGCTAATCATGATCAACAGCTCCCCTCTCCACGCACTCTTAACTGGTGTTTCCATGGTGCTGAAATCTGGAATAGTTTTTAACCTGTGTTACCTACCGTTTTACCAGATAACCAATAACTGTAACTAAAGAAGTAAAGCACACACAACGATCGATACACTCACACACGCTGCTTCATGCCTTGCAAATTTGACAGCAAACTGCACATGTGAACACGAGTATTGAGATCACATGCCCAACAATAATGTCTATTTACTCCGTTTTCCTTAAAATTTACGAACCGAATATGCTATTTCACCAGATCTGGATTCCCAAATCACCACATGTGGCTGATGTACTGGACAACCCTGTTCTAAACAGGCGACGATAATTTAATCGCGAGGGTTCCCGTGCCATGCTCAGTGAGAGTTTGGGATTAAATTAAAATTGAGAACGTTATAAAAACTACAAATGTAAAGATAATCCAATCAGGGGGATTTGAAGGCTCTGACACGAGAAAACCGTTCATTGCTTATTAACTTAACTCGAAAGTGTGTATTGTTACAGATGTGCAATCCATTCGGAAGCTATACCCAAGTGACTGATTTTGTAAGATACAATGCTGCGTGACCCAAATTTTCTCACTTGCATAAATACCCGGAGTTGTACAACATTGAACAGTTTCGAAACAATGCATGTTGCAATTTTGTATTCAGACTGTAGATCGATTTATACAATGCATGGCTTAAACCTGATGAAACATCTACAAATTCACACTATTGTTACTCGGCGTAGTGTCTCGGAGCTCTCTGTGGTGGTGCGCGTGTCCAGCACAGGCTGCCAATGCTGAACTCTAGAGCTAAATTTCAAGTCTGGGCTACTCTACGCTGTTTTAATGACTGTAAAACACTGTCTATATTGAGCGTCCCATAGCGCTGTGTTTAGAGCACTCGCCTCGCAAGCAAGAGGTCCTGGGTTCGATCCTTGCACGGGGGCAAAACTGAGAAAATGGTTTGGGTGTCAGCCTGGCCCCAGTAGGAGCATTCTCACCCAAGTCAGAAAGTTATGGGCTCAAGTCCCACATCCCGACTTAGAATCACACAGTCTAAGCTGACACTCCATTGCAGTGCTGTCGGAGGTGCCATCCTTCCTTCAGATGAGACATTAAACTGCCTGTTTAGGTGGATGTTAAAGATCCCATGGCACTATTTGAAAAAGACACAGGTTCTCTCTCCCCCCCGGTGGTGTCCCAGTCAACCGTGCCACAAAATAAAATTGGTCGCTCATGCCATGGCTGTTCGTGGGGCACTGCTGTGCGCAAATCGGCTGCCGCGTTCTGCCCGCAAAATACACAGTCACTACACTTTACAGTACATCCTGTGAAGCACTTTGAGACGTCTCGCTGATGTGCTACATGAAATGCAAGGATTATTATTATTATTTTCAATGGAACATCCTACATATCTGAGCAATGTCAAAGGTTCTCTATAAAGCCCTTCTCACTATACCCTTACGATGTAACAGGTGCCTTTGTGCGAACCGAGATTAACCCTTTGCTGCGCTATCACATGCAGTTTGTGCTCAGTCAGGAGATCACCAGATGGCAGCCTTATATTGACTGAAGGACCTGAAATGAAAAGACTAGTATAGTGATACAACCCCCTGAAGGTAATCAGTGTTTTCAAAGGTGAGAAAGACCAGCATTTACTAAACTGAGCCGAATTGCATCTGATGTGACGAGGAAATGCTAAAATTTTCAGTTCCATCCGGATCAAAACCTTGGGAATATTTTTCTGGCCAAAGCGCCAGAAATGTCCACAGAATTAGCTCGCCGTTAGTTAAGTAAATGAGTGGCAATGTTTGCGCTGGGCTGGCAGCACAGAGACAGCTTTGTAATGAAGCACTTCCTCTACGTCCCTCCACAGAGTGGTGTGTGTGCTCACTGCCAACTCACAATAGATCTCACACACACACACACACAGCCTCAATGGCTCTCTCTCACACACATACATATACACACACATACACACACAGCCTCAATGGCTCTCACACACATACACACACAGCCTCAATGGCTCTCTCTCACACACATACATATACACACACACATACACACACAGCCTCAATGGCTCTCACACACATACATATACACACACACATACACACACAGCCTCAATGGCTCTCTCTCACACACATACATATACACACATACATACACACACAGCCTCAATGGCTCTCACACACATACATATACACACACACATACACACACAGCCTCAATGGCTCTCTCTCACACACATACATATACACACACACATAC